AACAGATAACCTGTCGTCGTATTTTGTTATTTCTTTCTTTCTTCTTTTATTTTTCCTCCACTTTTTATTAAATTTTTCAAATTCCTTCCTTCTCTTTTATTTATGTCATTTTTTTGCTTTTTTCCTGGGTTTCCGCGCATCATCGTAACTTTCCCTGCAGTTCCCGAAAGCAGCGAGCTTAAGACTACAACTTATTTCTTTTTTTAAAATCATGTTTTTTGTTATGTTAATTTTTTTTTGTTCTTTTGTGGTTTAATTTTACACTTAGAGACACGTTCACACGTACGAGAGTAGTACATTCTACAATTTTGTTCTTTCCATCGTGTTTTGCGATATCGCTGAATCACCCACAACCCCCTACCTGCTTCTTCCCTCTTACCCCCTTTTCCCTCACATCAATCAACAACGGGTCGTTATATAATTCTTAAATATATATATATATCTATATATATTTATGTATTTATTTATTTTCCTTAATTAGAAGGCGATCCTGACCAAAGCATCGATCGATCGATTATTCATTCATCCATTCATTCCCTTCTTCCTTCTCTTCTTTCTTTCTTTCTTTCTTCCGAACGACCTCTTTACTCGATCCGAAAAATTGTTTTACTCCTCCACTCCCACTACCTTTTCATTATCATCCTCTCATTCCGTGAACGTGATTTAAAACTTACATCGAACTTACAGTCGGAGTTTGAAAACTCGATGCGACAATCGTCGCGCTAAATATCGGACTTAATTTTAATAGTATATAAGACTTTTATTTGTTTTCTTTTTATTTTTTTTTATTTTTTTTTTATTTTAATCGTCACTTTTTCTCCCCTCTTTTCTTATCATTTCGTTTGTTTTAAATAGGACATTGTCGGTACATCAGAAACACGAGCCTTTATAGCCTTTATTAGCCTTATATAAAGATATAAGGCTAAATAAAATGGATCTTTTTTTAAAACGTGTTTCCTTCTTTCTCTCTCTCTCTCTCTCTCTCTCTCTCTCTCTCTCTCTCTCTCTTTCTCTTTCGCTCTTTCATTCGTTTCTCATTCCAATTTTCGGCACAGGACGAATAAATATGCCGAATTAAATCTTATTTTCTTTCTTTTTTTTTTTTTTGAATTTAATTGTTTTTTTATATTTTAATTATTATTATTAATATTATTGAGATAATATTATTATTATTATGCCTCGTGGGTTGTCATCACGCAAATACGTACACACATAAATCGTCATAAGTCTTATTATTTTTTTTTTTTATTTATTTATTTTAGTTAATTAATTAATAATTTAATATATATATATATATATATTTTTTTTATTTTAATTTTCTTTTGTATTTTTTAAAATTTTTTTAATAATATAATCGTTTGTTTTTTCCACATGCTATCTTGGAAAGTATGATGAAGAGAAATTTGTCAATTGGTTTTTTTTTATTTTTTGTTTGAACTCTTTATTATATGACGATGATTAGAACGTGCCTGCTACGTGACGCCTTTATTTTTTAGGTATTTTTTAGATATTTAGGTTGTTTTATTATTGGTTTAAAAATTGTTATTTGTAAGACGTTCAGTTTGCACGCTTTGTTGAAGTAAAAAATTGAAATAAAAAAATTCCAATAAATAAAAAAATAAAAAGTAAATATTATAGATATTCCCGAATGAAATTAGGATTCGATTATTGCGTAAATATAAACACGCGCGATATGTGTTATTATGCGCAGTGAATGTTTTTTCCTTTTCTTTTTTTCTATTTTCTTCTTCTCGTTTAGGAATACAAAAGCTAAAAGCGTCTTATGCTAATAATAACTTTTTTTCTCTAATTTCTAATTATCTTCTTTTACCTGTTTTTCCTCTTTATTTTTCTATGATTCTAATCACTTTTATTTCACCGCCACCTCACCATTCATTTCCTTTAAAAAACAATTCTATTTCTTTCATATATTTCTAAATATTTTCTTCGACATTCCTTGCTTCTTTTTTTTACATACGAACATTGACAAATTTTTCATTTTACTTTCCTTTCCTATTTTTTCTCTTCTTTTCTTTCTTTACCAAGTGACAAATAAATAAATATATACACACGCGCAAATATATATGTATATATACACATACAAATACATACTTGGATGGATTGAAAATTTTATATCACAAGATAGAAACAATTCTTTTTTCCGGTTAAACTTGCTTTTATTTAAACAAAAAAAAATATAAGTTTCTTTCCGAGGCTCAAAACTTTTCAATCCATCCTTCAATATTGTAGATATATACATATATGTATGTATATATGTAAATGCAAAGAGAGAAAAAGAGAGACATGATATACATACATATATATAAATAATATACATACATATATATATATATGGCACTTGAAGCAATTATTATTAAATCGCGCGTTTATCGAAGAATACGTGTTGTTTAAACGGTCGTCGAAAAAAGGAGTCCGTAATACATATTAAAATATGTAGATATGTTATGTATATGTGTATATATGTGTTAAGCATGTGTATTTTTATCCGCGAATACTTATCGATAAAGAATTTTCTGTTATGGTTTTACTATTACATATTTTCATTATCACTGGCAATACCTTTTTTCTTTCTCTAATGTAAGAATATATGTTTTTATGTATGTATTAATGTGTGTGTATTATGTACGTAGGAGTACACATTGATTGTATTACGCCGCGTTCACGCCTCTATGCATATCACCAAGTAGTATAGGAAAAGAGAAGAGAGAGAGAGAGAGAGAGAGAGAGAGAGAGAGAGAGAGAGAGAGAGAGAGAATGACGTTTCGTTTCAAGGTCATTTACCTTTTTCTTCCGAGATCTTTGATGAATACGAAATTGATTTAAATGAGCGCTTACTCACGTAAGTATAGATAAGTATACTTATATTTATGTAAGAGTGTAGGTAAAGAGAATAGTAACTGCGAATGAGAAAGACAAAGTATATCCCCGAAGCTCATGTATTTGTGTGTGTGTGTGTGTGTGTGTGTGTATGCTGTATGTATGTGTGCGTGTTTGACACAAGTGATAAGATAAAATGCAAGATACAAATTATATATTTATGTTTGCGTGCATGTCTCTTTTGGAAGACTATGTTCTGTATACCTGTTTGTTTCTTTGTTTGTGTATGCATAGTTAGGTGTGTTTGTCTTTGATTACTTTGATTTCGAACGATCTTTTTATTCTTCTTTTTTCTTTTTCTATTTTTATCGGATTTCAATAGGAGCATTAAGTGACGAGAGTAATATTGAGAGATGATTCCTTTTTTTTTTTTTTCTTCAGTCAATTATATTCTCTTATTACATTGCATTAGTTTATCATGTATATGTATCTGAGAGTGAGATATATATAAGAATATTATTTTTGTTCTAAATAGAGAGAGTATAATATAGACATTTAGCAGACATCTTTTTTTCTTGTATTCTATTTTTATGTGTTTAGAAATATTTGTTTAATATATCTATAAATTTGTATAAATAATTGATAGAAATGTATTTGATGTTTTAAGATAAGAGAAAAGAAAATATAATATAAGGTCTTCATGAATAATAATTTAATTAACGAACACACGTAACTGTATACACATGAGTTCTTATCGAATGGTAGGATATGTATGTTTGAATTAACTGTAAATATTTATGGGAGAAAGTCACACTATATTTTATTTTTTGCGTTTGTTCGTCAAACATTGCTCGTTGATGGGAAATCCGATGTTTTGAGAAAAATTAGAAGAATAAGAAGAATAAGAAAAAGTAGAAGAAGTAGAACACGAAGAAGAAGAAACGACGTAAGATTCTACACTCACAGATCAACTTTAAAATGGGTTAAAAGAAAAAATAATACATTATTAATCAGCCAATTGTAATTGTTGACCCATAATATTAATCATCTTATCTAAATCCCTTTTTTTTGAACCACGGAAATGTAACGAGTCTGCGCGTGCACAAACAATTTCACGAAAAAATACCAGGAATTCGCGTAGACATCTCTATGTTTGTCTATTTGTCTGTATAATTGTTTTTTGGATGTAGGATTCATGAAAAATTGGGCCATTGGATTAACTGGACCAACATCCGAATTGGGGTCATACACTTTTTGGATGATTGCTTGAACTTTTTAGTTACGTAGGACCCTTTTGGTAAAACCTTTTCACGAATATTGATTGATTTTATTTGGATTTATTAGGTGTTCGTTCTCGCATGTATTTGTAAAATCCTCGATCGCGTGTACTTGCATACGTTCTTTCCAAAATTACAACACATTTCTCGCGGTTTGTTCTTGTTCTAATTGCTGTTCATTCGGTATCGCGAATAACCTTGGCACTATCTTTGATAAATGAAATAATTATTTATTCGATCCGTTTCATTTTTCGCCTTTTATTTATTTATTTATTTATTTATACTTTAATTTTTAATTCGACTTTTCTCTCTAGCGCATTTTTTCCAGTCTTTTTCTATTTTTGTTTTCGTATATCTTTTGTTTGCTTACTTGCTTTTGTAATCTCTTTCCTAAAAAATATCGTCTATCGTAATAACACACTCGCGGTATCGGCGTTAACGAGAATATTTGACGAGAAATTGTGTTTTATAAAGTCAAAAGTCTTACCAATTAAACTCGTAACATCCTAAGAAGCCCTTGCATCACAATTTGTACTTTTTTTTTCATGTCTTTTGTTTTATTTATTTTTATTTTTATCGTTTTTTGTTTCTATTACTCTGCTTTTACGTATGTGTGTGTGTGTGTGTGTGTGTGTGTGTACAGGTTTTTTTCCTTTATTTTTCACTTTCACCTTCGCCCTTTTCCTCTTATTCCATTTTTTTTGTTATTTAAAGACGAGGATGATCTTCGCTGTTTCATAGTTTTTGACGATAGACCGTGTTGTTTCGACAGAATATAATCTGAAGTTTAATTTACAACTATTACGATAGTAATTAGTAGTAGTAGTAGCATTTTCCCGTATACAGAGTGTTAGTGGAAAAATAAAAAAATAAAAGACAAAATAATTATAATTGATGATTCAGACGATATGTATTTATAGTACTCGTTCAGCTGAGATGAGTAATAAAAGCTTAATCAATGTGAATCGGAAAATTGATCCTGATCATAAATTATTGATGATTATTCGTTCTTTGTGTGCATTACAACTGACTCTCTCTTTCTTTTCTTCTTTCTCTTGCTCTATTTTATTTATGTGAACGCGTCATATGGATAAAGAATTACTTTATAAAATATTTCCTCTCGATCATAGATTCAAAAGGATTTGATTTATGCTATGATAGAAAATTTTATCCCATTTTATATCATTCTAATGTCGGATTTTGATCAATGAAAGATAAATATAGACGAAATTTTAATCCTCTTTTGGAGATTTTTTTCTTTTCAAATATTTCTTGTAAGAATAATTGAGAGAGAGAGAGAGAGAGAGAGAGAGAGAGAGAGAGAGAGAGAGAGAGAGAAACAAAAAGAAAGAAAGGGGGAGAGAAAGAGAGATAGGAGACAATTTTGTTATCAACATATGGAAGCTTGTGTAGTAAAATGGAAGCAAGTTATGGTTGGTAGCTCTTGTTAATCCAACAAAAGCAATTAAATTGTTTATCATTATAAACAAAAACTGAAAATGATTCGTAATTGCGGCTTTGTTTCCCTTATCGAGGTCAAATTTTTCTTCTTCTGTAATTATTATTATTTGTATTTTTCACGAGTCACATTAATTAAGAATTTTGTACTCAGCTATATTAATTATATTTATATATATATGTCTCTTCTAAAGTCCTGAATTATTTGTTCTTTAACATCCTATATGCAGTCATGTATTTCATGTACGATTGTTTATTTTTTTTTTTAACTACCCCTTCCTGTTTTCTTTCTTCGATCCAATGTTTTTTTTTGTTTTTTATTCCTTTCTTTCGTTCCGTCTTTTCTTTTTTGTTTTGTTAGATTCATTTCACGACGGATTAGGGTTGCTTTTGCTATACATGTATTGAGTATATTCGCGGGATAGTACATTCTCACGTTTCCCTGAGTTTTGATTTTAGTCAAGTTTCTTTCTACAGTTTATGTCAACAAATAGAAAAGGAGAAGTGCGATGGGAATAAAGTGAAATAGAGAGAAATAGAAAGAAGTAGAGGAAGTGACAACGTGATAGATGGAACGAGAGGGAGGGAGAGAGAGAGAGAGAGAGAGAGAGAAATAGACAAACAGATAAAAGGAAGAGACAAATGGTATAAGATAAAAATATAGATAGAGAAAAGAATACGGAAGAATAGGATTGAAATGAGATGAAAACTTTAAAGAATTTTACAGAGAGAGAGAGAGAGAGAGAGAGAGAGAGAGAGAGAGAGAGAGAGAGAGAGAGAGAGAGAGAGAATAAGTAATCTGTTTTCGGGGAATGCATTAAACGCAGTAGAGAAGTATTACATCGATGAGGCATTATGTACGATTTCTGGAGATTAATACGATTGATGGAGATTAATCGTTTATAATAAAGCAATTAGCGTCCTCTTGCCCATCGCAATATGGCGTCCGCTAAGACGTCGAGGTGCGCCCTCGTCTGAAAAAGAAAACAGAAAAACGACAAATTTTAATTATTTTTCTTTTTTTTCCTTTTGCCTTTTTATTTTACCGAAATTTATGGTAATTCTTTTTCGTCGATATCCTCATTTTTCCGTTCCATATATATATATATATATTTGAAGTTTATTTATTATATTAGATTTATATTGAATAAATATATATTAGGTTGTACGGAACGTAATCTCGTTTTTAAATCACGTCCGAGATATTTGTTGTTAGAATGTCGAATAATGAAATAATGAAGTTTAGAATAAAATAAAGTATCGGTAAACGTGACGAAATTAGTTTAACAAACAATCCAATATACGTATCAATGCTTATAAAACCAAATTTGAATGCATATTATATCTATTAATGGATATATCATGCAAAATATAAACGACATAATAATTTATATAAATAATAGTAATAATATTAAATTATTTTTTATTAAAATCTTTAACATCCTATATGCAGTATATATTAAAGTGTATTATATATAAAATACTTTGCTTAAAAATTCAAACGCATACAAATATATTCATGAATTTAATCAATCACTCAATCACTTCAAAGACAAATCTCCAATCCCCCTATCCTACAAAAACAGCCCTTTTCACAAATAAATTTCATCCCTTATAAATCGTATTTTAGATCCCAAACCGTTCTTTCTTTTCTCTAAAAAACAATATTTGATTATTATTCCCAATTTATATTCCCATATAAAAACAAATGATTATTTGCGCAGGTAGCGATAAATTTGGTAAATGTTATAGACTGTTCAATAATTTCTACCATTCAGAAGTCTCGGTTGATATCTGATCGAAGCTACGAAAGATAACGTTACATATATAGATAGATAGATAGTATATGTGAAAGAGAGAGAGAGAGAGAGAGAGAGAGAGAGAGAGAGAGAGAGAGAGAGAATGACGTTTGTAGAAATACAGGTTGGTCTACTAACGCAGTAGAGGATTTGTCCTCGAAGGTGTTTCCTTGGGATGGTAAAGTTCTGGTCACGGTATGTGTTGGTGAATGTGATGTTCACTCATTCTCTCTCTCTCTCTTTCTCTCTCATTGACGCAAAGGGACGCGCCCATCTGATATTCCAAAGCATATCTCATGCGACCATCCCGTCAAGACTGGGAAAACGTATAGAAAAGCTAGAAGCCCTGTTCATTCAGCTTTTCTAGTCCTACGTATATTAATTTGTTATCTATGTAAATAATTACATAGATTATTATACTACATATATAGGGTATCCCAAAAAAGTCGGTTTAATATTTCATTATAAAATTAGAAATGTATTATCTAATATAAAATCTTCGCGTGTATTTTCGTTTAGAAGGATTATACTATGGTTGCGTTCAAGGTTTTTGTTTTTGGATAAAATGACTTTTGGGACATCCAGTATATTGTATATGTGCTCTCATTCTGTCTTCTTGGTTTTAATCAAAATCAAAGTATCCTTTTAGTATTGCAAGAGAATAATAATAACGGTAAGTCGATTGGACTACATAGACGTTCTTTTCTCGTCTATTGAAATAACTTGAACAATATGTTACGTGCGTTCTATCTTTCTCTCTCTCTCTCTCTCTCTCTCTCTCTCTCTTTCTCTCTCTCTCTTTCTTTCTTTCTTATTTTCTTATCTTCAACTTCAATTTATTCTCCCGTATCGTATGATTTCATATAAGATAATTAGAATCATGTGGAAATATTAAATAATAAAAATATTTGATATTCATTTAAATAAGAGTTTAAATGATTAGTTGGCATAATAAAAGATAACTTTAGGCATAAATAACATGATAATGATAAGTTAGCAATTACCTAACCAGCTGAATTTAACCATCTAAGGATGATCGCAATCGTGGTGGTCGTCAAAAGGCAATTATCTTTGAGCAGGCATTAAACTGATAATCGAGTTGGAAATTGATGATGATGGTTTATGGGTAGATGGTAGTAGTACTATTGTTTGTGACGACTAACGCGATCACGACTAACGCGATGACGACGATCTCTATCTGACGTCATCGTTTTCTCTTCTTTTTTCTTTTTTACTTTTATTCTTTTATTTTAATTTTCTTTTTTATGTCATTTACAACATAAGCGAAAAGCTTTAATATCGATAATTAATTATATCCGACGAGAGATTAATGGATCGATCACGTCTAGGAAAGTTTTTAACGTGTTTACACAACCACGAGATTGATCGAAAGTTTATAAATAATTTTTCAAATCAATTATCTCTTTTTTCTTTTCTAAATTTTTTTTTTTAACGTCAACTTTGTTTGCTTTAGTCGCGTACAAAAATTATTTTTATAATAAATAGGTTTAATTATAATAATAACGATAAATAAATGAAAAATATAAATGTATCTTATTGTAAGATTATTTGATACAATTAGTTTACAATGAATTTAATAAATCTATTATAATAAATGTGTTCCTTCAAATATTTAATAATAATTATATCCTTTGTATTATTTTATCTTGTCTTAGATTTGTAATATTTAAATGTGATCATGGTAACCAACGTCATATATTGTATAAATCTAAAAATAAATGTATTTATCAAAACATCAACATTATCAAAACAGGAACATATCTTGGTAAACTCGTTCAACATTTCCGTTTTCATGAGAGCCGAAAAGAAAAGGTTTGCCTTACGTTATGCGGATTATCGATCAAGGAAGGGAAACCTTCACCTCCTCCCCACCTCCTCCCCTCCCCCATCACACTCTCTCTCTCATTCTCTCCTTCCATCGGAATGACGTAGGAAGGATGTGAGAGATAAAAGAAAAGAATATTATTACATTATACGATCGCGCGCGTGAAATTTAGTGCTGGAAAATTCGTGATCCTTGGTAAATCGAAAGTCGTGTCGACGTAAAAGAAAAGAAAGAAAAAAATAAGCGAAAAGAAGAAAAAAAGAAAAGGTATCTGAGTAATGGGGGAAAATAAGTATATAATAAAAAATAAAAAAAAAAAAAAAAGAAAAGAAAAGAAATATATAGCAATAACGGCAATGGCCAACACCCACCTTTGGTTATCCTCATGCTTCTTTTGCCCATGAGAATAAAAAGAAAGAGAGGGAAAATTGGAGAATGTCATAAGGTTAAGAAAGTTTTCCCCTCCATCTCCACCTTTCCTACCACCGCTTTTCATCATTTTTGCCATCTCCTAACTCTCCTTTCTTCTTGCTCCTCACCTTATCAGCCATTATATCCTTGGATGACGACTGTGCGAATGGAACTTTGTGCAGTAGGACGCCCACGTATCAAGATAAAGAGAGAGAGAGAGAGAGAGAGAGAGCGAAGGAGAATTATTGTACCCATTGATTTGGATGTATTGATATTCCGTATGCACCGATTTGATTTTCCTCTTAATTTGATTCCAATCTCAGCAACATATAGTTTCTAGTATTTATGCATGTTGCGTGTGTATATATTACATATATGAGTACATATACTGGTGTATATTTATGTGTGTGAGAGTGGGAGGGAAGGAAAAAGTTGTGCGTATGTATATATACACGGATAGATTTTTTGTTGTTTAAAGCGTCGTATAAAATAGAAACAGCACCCTTGGAAAAGTTTCGCCACGAAAGCGGTCGTTACAGCCCCCGCGTATTACCCTCCTTCGAGCTCATCAACAACGAAGTTAGCGTTAAAACGTTCGTGCTTCGAATTTTCCTTACTTTTCCATACTACGTGCTTAACTCTCTCTTTCTCTCACACCTATTCTTATCTCGACTATAGTCATCTTCTTTTATAACATTGCCAAAGCGTAATACGAGGATATTTTACTATACTCGTTTATATTCTGCATTAAGAAGTTTAACGAAATGAGATTAATAAGAGAGAGAGAGAGAGAGAGAGAGAAAGAAAATGTTGAAAAAGAGAAAAAAATTATAATTTTAGATTAATGGTAATTTAAAATTACGCGAGTAAAAATATTACAAATCTTATGATTCAATGTTTTTATCTATTAGCCTGTATATTTCTTAAACGATGAACAAGAATTTGAAAATTAAAAGTAATCTTGTAATTGATGGTTAATAGGAATAAAATATTCGAATTATTTGTCAGAGATTAGGAAGAATATTTGAAAAATAAAATTTACCTTGAATTAATGGTAATTTGGAATAAGGAATAAACAATATCAGACTAACTCGTCTTGTTCTCTTTATCTATTTATCAGATGAGAGAGAGAGAAAGGTTTGAAAATAAAAGTAACCTTGAATTGAAATAGAATTAGAAATAAAAAAATCAGACCTTGCGTCTCAAACTTTCTATCTATTTATCTCTCAGACAGGGGAGAAGAAGGTTTCGAAACAAAAAAATGTAACCTTGAAGTAATGGTAATTTGGAATTCATAGTAAAAGAATAAAAAAAATCCTTTCTTCTTTTTTTCTTATCTATCTATCTATCTACCAATCTGTCTGTCTGAATCTATTTATCTATCGTTCTATCTATCTCACATTCTGTTTCGCTTATTTTCAATATATCGATGGCAGATACAGTCTGGAGTTTGCTGACTATAATGTTTGAATTGTGAGTTGTGAGTAAAGAGGTTCTCTTTTGAAGTGTCTTGAGGGAAAACGAGAGATAGAAGAAAATGGAGAGACGTTATGGAAGATAGAAAAGATGGCTCGTCATTTTTCCTCCCCAAGTGAATCGAGATAAATTCGAAACTTCGTAAAGACTTTATAAATAAGAGAAAAAGAATTACGAGATATCTATATACATATACATACATGTATATATGTGAACAGATTTACATATTGATTGAACCAATTTTTCGGTCAAATAAAAATACATTCTCTTTCTTATCGTTTTTATAATAAAAAACAAATATCAATTTCGATAATTACTTTTCGAACCATTCAATATTTACGTTATCATTTCATGTATATGCACAAATAAAGTTTTTTTTTGGTGGATGAGACATTCGAATTGAATATAATTATTAATTTGTTGAACGAAGAATTCATTTTTT